ACCGAAACGCCCTTACTCTTGATCTCGGGGATCCATGAATAATTACTCTTAGAACGGGGCGTTACACCTCCCCACCACATACTCCTCAGCATAACGGATATGCTGAGAGACGCCATCGACACATCGTCGAGATTGGTCTTGCTCTACTCTCTCACTCTAAACTCCCTACCACCTTCTGGCCTTTCGCTTTTACCACCGTTGCATATCTCATAAACAGACTACCTACATCTATCCTTCACAATCTTTCTCCTTTTCATTGCCTTTTTCAAAAAGAACCAAACTACTCGAAACTCAAATGTTTCGGTTGTCTATGCTATCCATGGCTTCGCCCATATTCACCAAATAAACTACACCCTCGTTCCACCCCCTGTATTTTCGTCGGCTATTCTCCAACCCAAAGTGCCTACTACACTTATGACCCTCTATCCAGCAAAATCTACACATCAAGACATGTTGTGTTTATTGAAAATGAATTTCCATATCCAACACTTGCCAAATCTCCCATACCAGAATCTCTAATTGATTATAATCATTGGATTCCACTATCATTCCCAATTTTACAATCTCACTTCCCCCCCCCCCCCCCACTACTCCAACATCTCCTCAAACTCTCACACCATCTTCCGCCACCTCTACTGCCACTCTCTAAAATCCTTCTCCCATAATTCATGATCCTCATCCACCCTCTCTTCCTCCTTTTCCTCCTCCTCCTCCCCCTCCTCCTCCTCCTCCTCCTTCACCCCCTCCCCCCTCACACATGAACACTCGTCCTCACCCAAAACCAAACACTCGTTATTTCAACTCTGACTTCCAATTATACACCGCCTCCACCGAATACCCATCTGAACCATCCACAATCTCTCAAGCTCTTAAACATCCATCATGACGCAAGGCTATGCAAGAGGAATTCGATGCACTTACTCGTAACAACACCTGATCCCTTGTACCATCCTCTCAAGCTCAAAATCTGGTTACATACAAGTGGGTATACCGAACGAAATACAAACCAGACGGATCCATTGACCGCCTAAAAGCACGTCTCGTAGCCAAAGGCTTTCATCAATGTCCAGGTATTGATTACCGGGAAACCTTTAGTCCTGTTCTCAAACCAGCCATGTTACGTCTTATTCTCTCACTTGCCATCTCGAATGCATGGCCTCTAAGACAACTTGATATCAATAACGCATTTTTACAAGGCACACTTCATGAAGATGTTTACATATCTCAACCTCCTGGTTTTGTTGATCCCTCCAATCCCACTCATGTTTGCAAATTAAACAAAGCACTTTATGGCCTTCGCCAAGCCTCTCGAGCATGGTATGATGAACTTAAAAATTATCTCATTTCCCTAGGATTTAAATCCACCATCTCAGATCCCTCTCTTTTCATTCTCAAAACCGATACCTCCATCATCTTAGTTCTTGTCTATGTCGATGACATAATCGTCACCGGTTCATCTCCCAGTCACATATCCACTTTCATCTCTTATTTAGCCTGTAAATTCTCTCTAAAAGATCATGGATCTTTGTCTTACTTCCTTAGTGCTGAAGTCCTCCCTCATTCTTGGGGAATCTTACTTTCTCAAAGAAAATACATCCTTGATATACTCACTAAAACCAAAATGACTTATTGCAAGCCTGTATCCACACCAATGATTAGTTCTGACACCTTACGATCAACAAGGGGTACACCATATCCGTCTCCAACTGATTATCGCACCTTAGTCGGTGCCCTACAATACCTGTCCCTAACCAGACCGAATATCTCCTTTGTAGTTAACCGTTTATCTCAGTTTATGTAGGCTCCAACATCTACACACTAGATAACTTTGAAATGATTAATCAGATATTTGCATGGCACACTTCATCATGGAATCATCATTCATCGCAACTCACCACTCACACTTCAGGCATTCACTGATGCTGACTGGGCTGGAGACAAGGATAACTACAGAAGCACCACCGGGTACATAGTTTATCTTGGTGCAAACCCAATTTCATGGAGCTCAAAACGTCAAAGTTCTTTAGCCAGAAGCTCCACCGAAGCTGAATTCCGCGCCGTTGCATCCACCACCACCGAAGTTCAATGGCTTATTTCCCTACTAAGTGAACTTGGCATTTCATCTTCCACTACACCTATTTATTGCGATAATCTGAGGGCAACTTCATATTCAGCAAATCCTGTTTTTCACTCAAGAATGAAGCACCAAGCTCTAGATTTTCACCTTGTCAGGGAAAAAGTACAGCAAGGATCTCTACGAGTTCAACACATAGCCGGTGATGACCAACTTGCTGATGCTTTAACCAAACCCCTTCCACGACCACGCTTTCATTATCTCATATCCAAGATTGGTCTTATCACAGGATCGTCCATCTTGCGGGGGAATATTAAGATATAACATGGTCACATTTATCACCTAATATTTAGCACACATGTATATTACTATGTCAATATTGTTCCCGTGTATATCTCTCATAGTTAGTTGTATTCTTGTTATATAAACCCAAGATGTATCAAAATTCAATAATACAGAAACAATCTTTTCAATATCGACTTCAATTCTATTTCCTTATAGTTATCTCTCCATTGCCAATGTTTCGCTGAATAGCATTCCGTAGAATGATATCAAAATCATGAAGTTGATTAATTGCATCTATGATTTTAAACCAAATGCCCTTCTTTAAAACCGAACCTTCATTATTCATACCAAAACACCCTTCACGCCCATGAAAAATCTTTACAATCTCCGTCAAAATGTTATTGTTACAATTAAAAAAATCGCCACTTTCATTTTATATATATAAAAAAAAAACCTTATTAGATGCATCCAACGAGCCGAAGTCAAAACCTCCTTTATTCCTATTAGCCAACGCAAGATCCCATCTAATCCAATGAAATTTTGGATCACCCTCGTCACAACCCAAAAAAAAAATCGGCCCTCAACTTCTCCACCCCAAAAAATATCGTCGTTAGCCAACATATATCCAAAGGTATAATTTTCGATGTAGCTATAGAATAATAAAAAGTTTTTTTTAACAGAAAACATATTAACAAAATTATTTGATTGTTGATTAGATATATTACATGTAAATATAACTAATAATTTATAATAATAGAAAAAATAAACATTTAATTTTAGTTTGATATTGTTTAATTAAAATCGAGTTTAAATAAAATTACTATTGTCCTTTACATTAAAAAGAACCTAATATTTTTTAATATCAATAGTGATAACAATGACCAAAAAAAAAACTTAAGTTCAAATTTGTTTCAGCCAAAAATATAGGGAAATCTTCAGAAAAGTCCTAAAATTTTAGCCTAATTTACGAAAAAATCTCAAACTAAAATTTGTTTACGAAAAAACATAAATTACCGGTAAAAATGACGATTTGACCCATTTTTTCCGGTTTATAGGTTTTATTACTTACATGTTTCACTAAAGTCCCATTATTTTACCATAATTTATTATAAATAAAAATAATAAATTTAAATTAATAATTCATAAAAAGAACTAATGCAATAAAAAAATTAAAAAAAATTAATTAAATAAAAATAATAATCCAATAAAGTAACACTTACTAATAGATAAATATTATATGCTAAAAATAATATTTGTTAATATATAATAATCCAATAAAAAAGAATTAATACAATAAAAAAATTAAAAAAATCAATTAAAAAATTAATAAAAAAAAGTAATATTTTTTAATATATAAATATAATATATTAAAAATAATATTTATTAATATATAATAATCCAATTAAAAGAATTAACGAAATAAAAAAATTAAAAAAAATTAATTAAATGAATTTAATAATCCAAATAAGTAACACTTACTAATAGATAAATATTATATGTTAAAAATAATATTTATTAATATATAATAATAATAATAAAGAATTAATGCAATAAAGAAGAAATTAAAAAAAAATAATTGAAAAAATTATTAATAAAAAAAATAATATTTATTAATATATTAAAAATAATATTTATTAATATATAATAATCCAATAAAAAAATAATACAATAAGAAAAAACAAAAAAAGAAAAAAGTAATTAAAATAATTAATATATAACTAGATGCGTTCCAGCGCGTTGCGCTGGTCGGAAATGGTGTTTTGTGGGTCGGAAACTTGGAATGGTGCATGTGGATTGGAATCAATGTTAAAGTATAATATTATAGACATAGTTATGAATGTAGGTTGCTATTTCTTGTATTTAACTAAAAATTAAATGCAGAAATAACATATTACTTGTACTTGAATAAACAACACTTAAACCTATCTAATACAAATGATGAAGTACTTGAATAAACAACACTCAAACCTATCTAATACAAATGATGAAGAAGTAAAAGCAAGTTCCTGCAATTCCATTGAATTTGAAATCAACAATCCTATTAAGATATTGCGTGTGCCTCTGGCTGTATGATTTAGGGTTCCCCACTTCACGCAACGCAGATCGTAATTGTGCACATGGAAATTTACGATTTTGCCATTCAACATCTGAATTCTGTATGATTTAGGGTTCCCCACTTCAAGCAACGCAAATTTAAATTGTGCACATGGAAATTTACGATTTCGCCATTCATTATCTGAATTGCGGATAGAGGATTCCAACACTTGTCGATAATCGTACCATCAGAAAATTTATAGACGGATATTTAGCAAATAATGTTTATCAGCAAAAGGAGATATTTTCTTGGATTGAAGGTCGGGTGTTGTTCTAAAAAGAACAACAGGAGCTCCTGCATTTCAAATTTAAAAAAGGTTACAAACTTTAGCAAGAACTGGTTGTATTATTTTCATTAAGATAAATCTTGCCTTATACAACCTGTTTACAATTTAAATTTAGAGAAATCAAAGATCAAAGAGATCTCTGGGTACAAAGATTATAAGCAAATAGGAGAGAAGAGAGTGCAAATGCAAGAAAAGCCAAAAAAATCCTATTGATGCAGTTGCCATCTTGCCAATTGTGTGGACGCATCTTTTCCCAAATTTACACCCAATCATCCTTCGACTTCTTCAATGTCACTTGGGCATGAAATAAACATTCTGCTACATTATTACTATTTGGAAGCTCTCTTCTCAACATATTGTTACGCCAACTAATTTTATGTAATAAAAAAAAAGAAACAGTAGATCAAATTCAAATAAAATTGATTTTCATGTGTCATGTATACCTGCTATTTATACGTGTTGAGCTCTGCATATAAATGTCCATTTTGCCCGTGTCTCCATCTGCTTCAACTCATTAATTTTTAAGAACTCTAAACTTTAAATAAATTCAACGAAGCACATGTCTGTTTCTTTTAAAGTCGAAGGCCTCACTAACCATTCAATTTTTCTCAGCAAGTGCTACTTCCCATTTTCCAAATTCCATCTCCAATCAGTAAAATTATTCTTGGCTACATGATAGAGTTAATTGCAGTTCAAGTCCTCATACTCGCCCCTTACTGTATTACCTCCAATAATGCTTCGTTATTGCTTTGTAGTAGCATGCATTTTTTAACACAGAGTTGATCAAACTTGTATTGATAATCTGAGAGTACGAATTCCCCTTCTTTCCCAACACCTTAACCTGTAATTTTTTTAATCAATCATTACAACTTTATGAAAAAAGATAAAAAAAATTTATAAGAGTGATATAAATATTACCTGCACTGTCATTGATGCAAAGTTTTAAAAAAAAAAGTTTAAATTAATTCAATATTTTTGAAGAATTGGAGCTAAACGGGTTGTTCCCAGTTATGCATTCCAGTGCTCTTGTTGATTAAATCAACGACGCCGCTACAAAAGCCAATAACCCCAAGTGGTCAATAACAAATGATAGTTTCTCATGTTGAAATATAACGCAATTTTTGAGAGATACAAAAAACTCCATGAAAGAAATATCGACGACCACATAGCACTTTACATGAAATAAATGAAATTCTTTAAAAGTTTGTTGGCTTTGGTCTGTTACAAAGATTACTTTACATGAAACAAAAAGGATATTTAAAAAATGTTATTCATTTTTCAAACAGGATTTTAAAATGAGGCTATGTTACTATGTACATATAATAAGAAAGCCACCGTGTTGAGTGATATCCCTAAACTTGGTTGATTTATCTCAAAATGGGAGTCAATAGCAAGAAGTCTTCATCGTCTATCTCCACATGCAGTTGTTTCTCATGATTTTGCTAAAAGGGTAAACTTGTCTTTTGATATAATGCTCGCTTCAGCTTCGGAGGACTATCTTTCCATAAAACAACACTTTCACTCGTCGGGTCCACTTTGGCTCTTGCGTCTTTGAAGGCATAGTACTCTTTTTCCCCTAGTTGCTTTTGGGTTCCGTCGGACAAATTTGCCCCTGCCTTATTTTTTGGTTCAATTTTGTCCCTTAATCAAAAACTTGTTCCAGAAGGCATTTGGTTGGGAATGCTTTTGGAAGTGATGCGTTAAAACAAATAATACACTCAAAGCAAGATTATATGAAGATAAACTTTAAAAAAAAGATAACCTTTCCAGAAATCACATTGAAAGAGTCCAGTACTACCCTCCTACCCAACCTCTCATTGTAATGAGTCTGTCAAAAACAAACATATCCACATGAGTTCATATAATTTAGCATACTAAGTCTTTTTTTTATTAAGTTCATTATTTTATGATATCAACTGGAAAGCGTAAAGTATGATTTTATTTTAACAAAAAAGGAAGAGCAAAATTAACAATAAACAATTTGTGTTCTTAATATTGAATCTCAAATTACTAATCAAAATTGGAAACAGTGGATGTTTTTTACCTGCTTGTCTTTTTCTATCCCGTGATACCATCGTTAGGTTGAATCAATTGCCAAAAGTCTGGCGATTCGTAGTCGTGGATACAAAGAAACCTTGATACAACCGTTGTGTTGAATGGATTAGCCATATTTGTAGGGTGCTTCAAAATACATGTGAAAAAATGTTATAGAGGAAGCAAAATAATGACATAAAAATAATAGGATATCACCTCTGGTCTGGAAGTCTAACCGAAAGCTGCAAATTTGGAACTCGGTGTCGCGATACAAAAATTTGGGTGAAAACAGATATGGGAAAAATGAAACCAAACGTAGCTTATTTGCCCTAGAAACAAAGGACAGAGGATGGCGATAAATATACCGGTGGTTGATTGGAGAATGTCTGCTGAAGCGAAAATCGAACCCTAATCTCTGGTTGCTGGAGGATGTTGTCTAAGAAATCTGGTAGAAATCAAGAGCGAAGAACGAAGCAGATGAAGGGCAAACAGTCGAACACATTTGGGTAAGGAACCGATAGATGGAGTCATTGAGATAAGAGTAAGGCGGTGGATCGGTGTTAACCCAGGGTGAAGGAACGGTGAATGATAGAATACGCACACATTTGGTCGATAATGAAGCTAAGCAGGCGTGGGGGCGGTGCGATCTTCGACCTCGTCTCCTCCGGTGGGACGACGGGCTCGGATGGTTGATGATCGGTTGGGTACAGAGGAAAGTGGATTTGGGCGACCGGTGGTGGAGGGTAGATCGATTTGGCGGATTCCAGGCAGCGGCGACGGGGATGACGGTGGTTGAAGCTGGCGGAGGTCAGCGATGCAGGTGGGTGTCGTTAGCGGAGGGGCGGGGTGGTGCTGGAGGCCCCGAAGAAAACATCGACTCTTTGAAGGAACGGTGGAAGGAGAAAGGGTACGAATGGCAAGACGCCTCCAATCCATCCAACCGATTCAAAACCGGAATGTAAGAGAGGCGGTGGGAAGGATCCGGAAGAACGCCAGCAATCGTAAAGTGATTGGGTGGGAAAACGGTGAAGAGAACAGACGCGAAACACGTAGCAACAAAAAACCGATCAAATGGCAGAAAATGCCCAGAAAACAAAAACGGAAAAGAAAGCCAGAAGTAGACTGACGACCATAAAAGAAGGACTATTTGTGCCAAAAAACCAGCATGTTGGAAGGTAAAAGAAAATAGATAGAATTGCAACATCACCCATAATCACGGGACCAGTTTTGCCCAAAGTGAGGAAGATTACTGTATAGCTAAGGCAGGATAATTTTAATATATATATATATA